CTGCTGACAGTAAGTCTTGTTCTTGATTTTCAGTTAATGTTACGATGACAAGGCCCATTGGATAGTTTCTTTTTTTTTTTCTCCCTGAACTGATAAATTTGTTTCCGCAACTCAGTTACTAGATTGCAATAGTTTGGTACTTTGAGATTTTTAATTTGAATCCAAATTGAGGTTTGATTCTTTCCAATCGTTTACATTACTAGTTCCCAGTTACAAAATGAAGAGTGTTATAAGATGAGAGCGAATGCTCTTATTTGTCTTCTGTAACGATTCTCGTTTATAATCTTAGTTGTTAGAGCCAAGAACAGCTCATCATGCACGGAGAAAGAATGAAAAATTTTAGGCTGGAAAGTAGTGTACCGTTCGCCTTAAGGAAAACGTTCACTTTGCTCTTGACAACTGCATAAAAAGCTGGACTTACATTTTTTTTTAATGTTAATTTTGTGTTAGCAGTAATGTCAACCACGGGCATTGGTCTGGCTCTTCTGATTTGATTTCGGGCAGTTGACTATAAGACATCGCTGAGAATATCTTTGCATTATGCCCTTTTAATCCACAAAATCTAAAATTGTATCACTAGTTGGAAGATTATGTTGTTTTGTAAATCATTACAATTGGATTGGGATTTATGGTTGTGTTTAAGGTTTGAAATTTTTAACTCAAACACAGTAGCTCCGCGATTCACCCGGAAATATATAAATGTCATCCATACAATTATACCATCGTAAAAGAGGAACAAATTCTTCTTGGGTCCTCGCTTGTACTTTCATTCTTGCTCAAAATCTTTACATCTTAAATTATGGAACTCCTCAAGAAGACCTTTTTTTTTTTATATATTTTTCTGACGGCTTTTTCACATTGTTTTTCAAATTTGTTGTGCAGTGTTGCTATTTATTACCCCCTTTTTATGACGTAAAAAGATCACAAAGTGAATATTCAATTATACAGGCTTTTCTTCATCATTATTGCCATACATCCATCGGTTTTTCTCTGAGAGGATTATGGCGAAATCCAAAGTCCTGTGACAAATTTTACTACAAACCATGATTACATAGAGTTTTTAAATGAAACCCACACATGAGAAACACGAGGCTATCATCCATCATCAAATAAACAGTTCTTTTCCCAGATAGTCACGAGAAGGCTACAGTGTTTAAATATTTTACACAATTAACCATATCAGGATATACAAAGGAAAGAAGCAGCATTGTGGTCATTGGGCTCAGTGTGCACAGTACACCTGTGGAAATGCGAGAAAAGCTTGCCATTCCAGAAGCAGAATGGCCTCAAGCCATTGGAGAGCTGTGTGGTCTGAATCATATTGAAGAAGCAGCTGTGCTGAGCACCTGCAACAGAATGGAGATATATGTCGTTGCTTTGTCCCAGCACCGTGGTGTCAAAGAGGTCACTGAATGGATGTCAAAGGTAAGTCCCGAGTTCGCATTTGGTAATATATTAATATCCAATTGCAATAATCATGTTGAATAATTCTGTTATTTGCAGAAAAGTGGGGTCCCTGTTTCTGAGCTTTGCCAGCATCGATTCTTGCTTTACAACAAAGATGCTACAGAGCATCTTTTGAAGTATCTGCAGGCCTTGACTCTCTTGTATTGGGAGAAGGTCAAATCCTTGCGCAGGTCAAGCAGGTAGTTAAAGTTGGGCAGGGCATTAATGGCTTTGGGAGAAACATCAGTGGGCTGTTCAAACATGCAATTACTGTGGGGAAGAGGGTTAGAACTGAAACTAATATTGCTGCTGGTGCAGTTTCTGTAAGCTCAGCTGCTGTTGAGTTGGCCTTGATGAAACTACCAGAAGCCTCACATGATAAGGCCAGGATGTTGGTTATTGGAGCTGGCAAGATGGGAAAGCTTGTAATCAAACATTTGGTGGCGAAAGGTTGCACTAAGATGGTGGTTGTTAATAGAACTGAGGAGAGAGTTGCAGCGATCCGTGAAGAAATGAAGGGTGTTGAAATTGTATATCAACCCCTTTCAGAAATGCTCTCCTGTGCTGGTCAAGCAGATGTCGTTTTTACCAGCACTGCATCAGAAAGCCCCTTGTTCTTGAAAGATCATGTGCAGGACCTTCCTTCTGCAAGTCAAGATGTTGGGGGGCTTCGTCTTTTTATTGATATCTCTGTTCCTCGCAATGTAGGTTCTTGTGTCTCAGATGTGGATTCTGTGCGAGTTTACAATGTCGATGACCTCAAAGAGGTTGTGGCTGCTAATAAAGAAGATCGGCTGAGAAAAGCAATGGAGGCTCAGGCAATCATTGTCGAGGAATCAAAACAATTCGAAGCTTGGAGGGACTCTCTGGAAACTGTTCCTACCATCAAGAAGTTGAGGGCTTATGCTGAAAGAATCAGGGCTGCTGAGCTTGAGAAATGCCTAAGTAAGATGGGAGATGATATCCCAAAGAAGACAAGGAGAGCTGTGGATGACCTTAGCCGGGGCATAGTGAATAAGCTGCTCCATGGTCCAATGCAACACCTGAGATGTGATGGGAGTGACAGTCGGACTCTTAGTGAGACCCTTGAGAACATGCATGCTTTGAATAGAATGTTCAGTCTTGAGACAGAAGTATCAATTTTGGAGCAGAAGATTCGAGCCAAGGTGGAACAAAGTCAGAAGTAATATCTGACTCCAATTATGCTGATCACACTTATTGATTTCCTCTATTCAAAAATGGGGGAACACTCTCGCCCTTTTAGGAATGAGAATCTTCAGTTGCATAGTTGAAACAGGAGAAGCCTCCCCGGGGAACCTAAACCCATATTTGCTCTCTAGTGTCTGCTTGGCGTAGCTTGTTTGGGGTTTTGGGTTTTTCTCATTTGTGCAATGTTATTCCGTTGCCATTTTGATTGTACTATACCACATAAAGGAGTTGTGTTGGCGAGAGATGCTTCCCCTTGTATTGAGGGTCCTAATTGTAATTTAGCGAGGTCACATACTGAGATGAGACTGGTTTTTGAGCGTCTTTCTTGACGCTGGTTCTCCGCTCTGGTTGTTCAAATAAAGTTTTTATGCTTTCTCAAGATCGTGTAATTTAAACAATATTGCAGCTGACCATTCGATCAATATCAATACATGGATGTGGGCGGGTTTCCTGTATGTTTCGGATGAGTTTTGAGAAGGCTAATCATGTTCCACCTTTGACGGGGAATTAGGTGAATCTCACATTGTAGCCCGAATGATCAATGCATCAAATTGATCCCTGGAATCCGAAACTTGCAAAATCCCAGCAAATGGGATTGGCTATGCCATCTCTCTGGAGTCCGGACGCTTTCTGTGGTAGTTGGGGGGAAGGGTACCTCTGAACCAAAGCAAAGATCAGGGAAGAAGAATCTGTGTTTGTTCATTTCTTTTGGAGTGAGGGCGTGTGGTGGTGAAAGAATCCGTGGACATGAAGCGTGGATGCTTCAGGCACCCTACAATCGGAAACTCAGAGGGAATAATAACGTGGAGGACCATGGCACTGTCTAGAGATGAATGGTCCCTCAGCACCACGTCACATGAATTGAGCCACCAATCAAATCCATTTGTTTGTTTGATCTTTTCGTGGAATAACACTGATTGACAACACAGGCGATGTGCTGCATTTTCACACTACGGTCTCTTTCATTTTAATTCTTATGTTAACAACGAACAAGAATACAAAAGTTATAAACAACATCAAATACATATCATGTAAAACAAAATTTCATATTTATGCCTTCACTTTCTCTCCTTTTTTTCTTTTGCTACTTTCATTTCCAGCATCTAACCAAACAGAGCTTATAGAGGCTATTGGGAACACACGCCTAAAGACAAAGGACAGCGTAATTTAGGGGACAAGTGACACAGATGCTGGAATCCATCATCGGTTAGCAGTTACATTAATGATCACCAAACGATATAAATGGAGTATCGATGTTTAATGTTGACAATGAATTCGTATCGTATGTACAAATGCGTACCAAGAAATTAGCTGGAAATTGTTGTCAAAACTGGGGCAAGTAGCTGCAGCCGAAAGAGACAGTTCGAAGCAGTAACTCATTGAATTGTCAATTATAAGAAAGGAGCTTTCAGTGCCCTCCTATTGCACGTTGTTTGATGCAGCGTCCAAGCTTCAGAGGTAGCAAATGTCAATATTTAAATTGAAAGTTTTAAGAATTTCTTACGCTGCAAATTAAATGCCACATCTCGAACCAAGCTTGATCGTTCAGAAGAAGCTTAGATCAGGCATGTCGAGAATTACTACAAATTTTCCTGTGGTATTTGCCTGTTTCGCTCATTTAAAGCATCGCATCGGGTGGAGACCTTTTAACGCAGCACAGCATCTAGTTAAAAATTAAATTGTAAGTGACTTGGTAGTGTTTGTTCTTGTAGAGAAGACGCGGTGGTGGGATAAAGAAACACAAAGATGGGCCCCAAATCTGTTATTGTAGTCTGTGGTGAGTTGTAACAAGAGGGGACCACCTCCTTTATTTATTTTTTTAAAAAAGGTTTCAGCGTTAATAACAACAAAGCGATCCAAGGCATCAAACTGCGAGATGGAATCTAATCATTTGTCCATTATTATTGCTGCAAGCCAGCCACCCGCCGTCTTAACTTCTTCCTCCCCATTTATTTTCCATTTAAATAGGGGCAAGAATCTTCATTATTCGACCCACCCGTCTGGTTAATTAAAAATTAGCAAAACAAATAAAAGCGTTGATATGTTATGCCAGGATATAATCCCAAGGAGGTTACCGTTTGAGAAGCGTACAGATAGTGTTTGGAATCAGGTGGTGAATTTTCATTTTCTCATCCTCTCAGTTCCCACACACACCAATGAAAATCCCAAAGCAATCATTTAATCCCACAAAAACCTCTCATCGCATCATATCTTCATCATTTACACAACACGCCCCCCCACCCATTCCTCCTCTCACACCCCATCACTAAATGTTTCTTTTTTTTTTTTTTTCACTCTCTCTCTCTCTCTCTCTACTTCTGCAATTTTATACTTTATTTTCCAGATAATATTTTTTAAAAAGAAAGAGAAAAGAGAACTAAGCCTTTGTTTTGTGGGAAAAAAATTAAAACCTAGCGTTTTCGAAGCCGTGCAAGTCGCTGACTCTGTTCAATGACTTCTTCATGATGGCCACCTTAGCCAGCTTCTCAGCAGCTCTCCAAGCCGACGTCGGCGTGAGCGGCTCACCATTATCATCCACCAAGCTCGTCATCTCCCTCTCGCTCCCTCGCCTGCGTTCCTGCGTCATCATCTGCTGCTCCGTCGTGTTCTGAGTGCGCCAATGAAGCTCTGCCAGCTCAGCTTCCAACGCACGCACGTGCTCCTCAGCTGAGCTCGACTTGGCCTGCATCAAGAGCGCACGAGCCGAAGCCAGTAAATGATGAGCGCTGGTGAAGTCGTTGTAGTCCACGAGCCGGCGAGACTCGGCTATGGCTCGAGTGGATATGAAGAAATTCCTCAAGCGTTCGCTTCGCGTGCCCTGAGGTGGCGGAACCAGTAGGGCCTGTTCCCTACTCGATACGATCTCCTGAGAAGCGGGGTCCTTATACAAGCACCGTACCCTCATCACGTGGTGGGTCCCCAGTGCCGACGTTGGAACTCTCAGCTCCACCAGTAACTCCCTCTCCTCCTCCGCGTACAAGTCGCCGAGCCGTACGCTGCCTGAGCTCATTGCTGTTGTTCGACCGCCGCATAAATAGATGCCGCTGATTTCAGCCGCCGATGAGCCCGACTGGAAGCCGAGCTGAATTCTCAAGTCCTGTACAACAACACTCAACAGCCCACCGACGCACTTGGCAAATGCATCCTCGGCCGGCTCGTGGCTGAAGCCACTCTTTTTTCCGAACCCGAAAGCATGAACCGGAATCTCAATGTGGGCGAATCGGGTCGAGGACGCGTGGTTCGAGGATTTCCGTTGGTTGTTGACGTTACTGCTGTGAACTCGTTCGTCCTGACCGTCCGATAGGAGCATCACGCTGGCAACCGGGTTTCTCTCCCTCCGGTCCTCCAGCACTTTTGCGGCTTTTCTCAGAGCATCGCCCACACAAGTGCCATGGCCAGGGACAAGCCGATCGATTATGCGCCGAGCCACGCGCTGTCCTTGAGCCGTCATTCTTCTCAAGGGTAAGAGCCGCTTGGAAGTGGCCGAGAAAGCCACTATGGAGAGCCTGTCGGCTGGACTGAGTGAGGAAATGACCAAACGCATCGCGCGCTTAAGCATGTGCAGCTTCGCGCCTGTCATGCTCGCACCAACGTCAAGAACCGTTACGAGATCTATGGGAGCTCGCTGCGACTGACCAAGACGCGGCGTCATACTGTTATTGCCACTGCGCGCTGCAGGAGGAGGCGGAGGAGCCTTCACTTTCAAAACCAAAGCGTAAGTCTCGTGGGTCCGGGAGACTGACACTACGGCACACTCGGGGATCAACTTCACCTGAACGTTCCTGGAATCTTTGTCGCTTATTTGCAGGTCATCAGAGTAAGATTTGATTGAGGATGAAGATTTTGCATTGGCAAAAAATCCCTGAAATTCTTCAACGTCGTCTTCGCCTTCTTCGGCGTTTTCGTCGGCTTCAGGTATTGGAATGATGCGACCACCGGATGTGGGAGACAGAAGCGGCTCGTCATCGTCGTAGGACCTGTAACAATCAAATTGCTTTGGGTGCTTCTGTGGTAATTGTTGGGGCGGTTCAACAAGCTGGGTTCTGAAAACTGAGGATGAGTTTTCTGTAGTCTTCTGGGTGGCATTTGGTTTTACGACGTTCTTGTCAACCACGATGTCGTTCTTTTCGGCGGATTCTGTGGCGTGGTTCTTGTGTGCGGCTAGCAGAGGCACGTCTTTCCAGGTAGCGTTGCAGACGGGGCAGACGAGGCTTCCATGTTTGCGTACATAATCGGCGATACAGGGAAAGTGAAAGGCATGAGTACATTCTGCAGTGTAAATGGCCGTTCCCTGACCGGTTTTTACGCTATTCAAGCAGATTCCACAACTACTCTGCAGGATAGGAAACCAGAAAAGACAAAACAAATCCATTAAGCCAATAGATCTCACCCCATTGATGCAATTGAAGAAAACCATAGCACTCAGAATCAGGAATAACTTACCCGGAATTTGAAGCTGTTCCTGAAGAGAGATAACTTCAAAGGAGAACGCGGCGATGCGGGATTTGAGGTTGAACTGGTTTTGGGGGACTTGGTTGCCCTGGGAGTATTTTGCTTTGAAATCTGGGGCTGTCATTCACGTTTGCTGCTTCTGAAAGTGTCCGGCAACGCAAGCTCGGACTAGACACGGCTTGAGATTGCTGCTGCAAGCGCGGGGTGGAAGGATTGCCCCCGCCGGAGAGAAAACCCAATCGAACACAGCTTCTGGGGCTGGGGCTTGGACTCGTGCCCCTGTGCTGCTTATCGGATATGGCAGATTCCGGGTCACGAGTGCAAAAGGCTCTTCTCCATCCAGTTCCCATTTTCCCCCTCACAAACCGAAAACAATGAGAATTCTGCAGTACTCGCTCAGCTGAACCTTTTCCTTTAGCACGAAGTACCGAACCTTTATTCGCTTCTATCTCTATCTATGCCTTTTTATTCATGCTTACCAGAGGGGAAGAAGGAAAAGGAAGTTTTGTTTTGTTCTATTTTTGATCGATCTGAAGATGCCGCACGGGACAACAAAAGGGCAAGATCGAATTTAGTGATATAAGGCTTGGGATCAGACGAAGATAAAAGCCAAAGAGACAAGGCTAAAGCGATTCTACGATATCTAACTCCAGGCCTAAACACACAGGTTTTTGGTCTCACTTTTTGCCTCCTCGCTTTCGCACTTAATGAAAAAGGCTGAGAAAATCTGAGCAAATAAATGCCTAGAGAGGGAAAGAGAGAGAGCGAGAGAAGGAGAGATGCGTCCTCCCTCGCTAGAAAATTGAAATGCACAAAAATGAAGAAGGCCACGTTACCTCGCATCTTTATATGTAGGGCATCATTTTCCAATCGAGCAAAGATAATGCAATCCATCATATCCAAATCACGGATTAATTTCCATAATACTAATGATTTACCCAAAAAAAGATAAAACGACTTTACCCACAGTACTGGCACGTGTTGGTTAGGTCGCCAAGTATCCTGTCAACGTCCTCTCTCTCTCTCTCTCTCTCTTTCCAGAACCAATTCATTACAGTTAATCACCGACCTGTGAGGTTGCAAAAATAACTAAAACTGAAGTGATCGCGCCTACATGCCTCATGCTGCGGATTCCTCCACGAGGACACGTGCCCCTGCAGTTCTGTATTGCGATTCCCCAGCTCTGTGTAGGATTATCAATTCCTGTCCACGGTTAACTTCATCAGCCCCGGCTGAAAGCGCCCTCCATACTCCCTCGCTCGTCGAAATCCAGTGGTCGTTCATTAACTGCCGTTGGATTTGTCACGGGTCCTCCTGATCCTAACTACTTTCCACCGTCGGATCCCGTTGAGCGCGCCCCAGCCTGCTCCAAATTCCCACCCAATTATTACTACAATCAACCATTGACTGTGACAATGCATGCATGCAGAGCACTGCCCCCTCGTGGACTCTCGAGGTTTCGCCCCTCTATAAGTATTTTCACGCAACTGCTCTTGCTCCTCTGTCCATTCATGTTCCGCCTTATGAAGTATTGGTACTGGTAACTTGGAACTCCGTTTCAACTCCATTTGGGGTGTGTTTGGATTAGCCGTGAAGAAGTAACTTTTTTTGCAATCTAACTTTTACAGACGTTAGGTTAGATAAAAACAGCTTTTTTGAGCTTATTGTATAAGTCCGTTTCAGTGACAAAAGTCAGATTACAAAAATGTGATTCCAAACACATCCTAAATCAAAAAAGCTCCTTTTACCGGTAGAGAAGTCAATTTGAAGGTTCAGATGTGATTCCAAACACACCCTTCTTTGAATTATGCCAAATTCAAGACAATTGTGCAAAAATAAATTTATTATGTTTTATAAACATATAAACATGTACTAGTACAATAACAACTAGGACGTCCTAAAATGCATATGCTGGGAGTAAAGTACTCATATAATAAGTTGAACAAAATAACCCATATAAAAGATGCATGAAATACTCTCTCCTTTTGATGTGAGGAAAAATATCGGGTACAAGGAGCATTAATTAGCGTAGGGGAGCAGAGAAGGTGTGCATAAAAATCAGAAACAAACAAAATTGGATCGCAGATGAGTCGTCCCGCAACATAGCCCAGCCCTTTCAGTGCGTGTCAGTGGTTCGGAGACCTACGTGCCCGGAGCCTCACCTACAACCGTTCCCGTCCCTCTTTTTACATTTAGTCTTTTTTTTTTTGGGCTGGATATTCCGCTCTTTAAATTTGAACGACAGGGATCATTGAACGCTACTAATAGTGGTTGAAGCCGGACTTGGGAAGCCGAAGGGGGCCTGGTCAGTAACAAATGGGAAGGCACCAGATCGAAGCATTCCTTTGAAAGTGGGTTTCTTCTTCAAAACCGAGGAGGTGGGGGAGGGTGGTAGTACCTTCCCCAAAAGGACAGTGTGACCCCCAGCAGCTGATTTGACTGCAATGTCATCAATTAGTCAATTATTCCGACGACACCCTATTGAACGCCGTTTTGAGCTTCTGATTGCTGACGTTTCGGCCTCCTTGGAAAATGGAAAACCCGCATTTGTCAATTGTCAACTCGTCGCCCCGAATACATTAAACTATTAGTACTTATATACTTTAGACCTAATCTTTGAATTTATTCGCCTTTTCCTTCATGCTGTGATTATTTTAACCGAGTTAGGCAGCTCCCGGCCACTTTTGAAGATTGTTTTTCACTTTTTCAAGCCTTCTCGAACAACGTTTCCGTCGAGGGTGAGAATTTCACCCAGTCACATGATGGCATGACAGGAGATGTTTTGCATTTTTTTTATGGGAAAATATTTAGATTAAAACTAAATCATAATTTAAAAAATAATTTTATAGTATACAAAATAAATATATAAAAAATTTGTTTTGGTTTGCAAAAAAATATTTTTAAAGTGTTCCAAACACCCTAAATAAAAAAACAAACCATCCGACGTGGTTGCGACTAGGGGTAATTATTTTGCTTGTTTTGTATATGCATCTCTGTCTGCCTTGGAATTTTATTGGGGACCGTGGGATAAATATTATTTTGAGAATCGCAGCGAGAATTATCCATGTACAGAAGTGGAAGCATTCCGTTGATGAAAAACCTTGACTAGGAAACAAGCGGAAATGGAGTGGCCGTTAGGTTCCAATCAAATAAAAGATGAATTAACCGAGTGGATGGTCGAGTCCGGTACGGTGTTCAATAATTGGACCGACCAGATCAAAATCTGACCCTAAAAGCTCAACTTCATAGATAAGAAATGAACAAAGGAAGTGCATGTTAGCAGATAACCAGTGGACCTGCATGCATATAAACACATACACACACACATATATTATTATTATTATTATTAAGAAGGTCAACAAATGACAATGAATGCGATTCCAACAGTTACCATATTGCAAGTACCCAGGCATTTTGTGAGTCTGCTCATATCTATATGCACCGGATTTGGCTTCCCCCGTCAATCACCATTTAATATTAATTAATTATTTTTAAATTTCGCAACGATCACGTGACAAATTGATCATTGATCAGCCTGCTATGACTTCAGCTCCCCACTAACTAAATGCTACTCCTGTCTTCTGTCCTTATTGTAAATTATTTTGTAGGGAACATTTTTTTTATCCTGAATATAAATCTCTTACATGATATTTAGGATGATTTTTTAATTTTACCTCATTTAAATATAGTTGGAAATAAAACAAGGAGGCAGGGATATGACGGTCATCAATGGAGAGGTAAAAGAAATTTAATAAGAATATATTTAAAAATTTTATCAATTTAACATATTTCTTTACGTGAGAATAAGTGAGTTATAAATCTAGCTAGATTGGCATAACCACAATGACATCTCCCGGATGCGTATAAAGCGGCAGTTCAGACTCTGGCTTTGAGCAGGGGGGAATCAGGATCCACGTGTATCGAGTGCAACGCAGTCGTTTTGGAGCGTGCGTCATAGCATCCCATGTTTCATCCCCATATGGGATGGGCCATGCTCGAATACCGTGTCATCCATCGCTTCCATGTGCAATTAAAATACAGCCCTCCTCTATTTTTTATATCAATGTATGTATGTATTCATATGTACACACACATATACCGGCGCTGATCGTTTTAAGAATTAAGGAGAGGCAAAAGGATTCTTCTCTTTGTCTTTTGAGAAATTTCATTACACGCACCCTCCATTTCTTTCTAGTCACTCTTTTCTTTCTCGAGATCCAAACTTAAAAGCTTCCTTCAAGGCTCATGCAACGCTTTTCCTGTTGAATTTATCTATCTGCCTCTCTCCCTCCCCCCCTCCATGTATATATCCATTATTGATTAAGCCAATTACGTGTACTAATATTGACTTAGTTTAAAAAAGTCCCTCTGTATTTTGTGTATTATTGCCTAATTAAAATTAAAAGAATTCATCTGCATCTCTGGTGTTGCGCTGCCAGGTTCAAGTGATCTGTGTGTGTTAAGGATATCGATAGATTAAACGATCATTAATGGGCGTTATAGGTAACTCAAGTCATAAAATGTGGATTAGGCATGGAGTAAAATTGTTAATTATATATGAGCAGTATCCTTGGTTGATTTTCAACCTTAATTATCAACTCATAATGGTCAGAGACAATATAATCAAGTGAGACGTGGGTTTATACGAATGCATTCCCTTTTGTCACCAGGCCCCAACCGATATAATGTAGTCATGTACATTTTATATATATATATATAGAGAGAGAGAGAGAGAGAGAGAGAGTAGGAAGGGGGTTGATTTGCTTGAATATAATAATGCACAATCATTGAATATTTTAAAGATGATGGGTATTAAATTAACAAAAAAGAAATATTATAAACGAAGGCTAACATGACCAAACACCATGCACCTTTTTGACTAATATGTAAAGGAGACTCATAGTTTATTGATAATTAGAAGGAAATGGGGAGGCATCCAAAACGGCAGTTACATTTGTTCAATAAATTTGGTATTGGAAGCCCAAATCAGAGAAAGAGGAGACGGGGGCAGCACCGTAATTAAAGAGGTTAAGATTCTGTGCCAATCATTGACATGTGACGCCATGCTCAAGATTAGCATGCTAAACCCTATTTTAATCATGTTTTACGACCACTAAACTTTGTACTCTCATCGATCCTGCTGACACGTGTCGAAATGAAACATAACCGTAGATCTGAGATCAAGGAATTCACTTTGTTTATTTAACTGGTCAATTAAACTTTTAATGGCCCTATGGATGTCCTGCATATAGTTTTTTTTTTTTAATTTTCAATTGGATCAATGCACTGTACCGGTCGATGGAGTAGTTTTGTTCATTCACTGTACACATACCTTCCTGTTTAAAATTATAAGTACGC